TTAGTAATAGCCTTATTCGTGCTAGTTGAGTATTCGTTCATAAGTGTCTTTGTCGATGTGAAATTTTAGGCATGTTAGGCATAAAACGGTATTAGAAGCAGCATGATTAATAATTTATAATAAGGAAGTTCATAAATAAGTGTATTCAAATTTTAATTAAAAAATAAATAGGTTTTGTACATCACTTATTTCAAAATAAATATGTCATCTTATTTTATCAAAATAAGATTTTCGAAGTTTAATTCTGAAACCCCAAGATTTTCAAACTCTCATTTAATTTCAAAACGCGCCACTTATTTGTCAACTTTGAAACACCCTATTCTAATGATATTGTTTATCTTGACTTTGTAAGAACGTATAAATATAATTTGTTTGATTATTTTCAAATTATTCTCAAATGATTTTTTATTATTAAAGTTTATTACTTTTCTAATAATTAAAAAATGAGTCCTCCATTACTTCATCTGCTGGACATGGAATTCCTGCATATATAGAACCTCAATGCTTTATTAATACTTCATATAAACGAAACAAAAAATCTGATATTTATTGTTTATGTGTTATTCTTTGGGAAATTTCAAGTGGTCGACCACCATTTGAATCTATTGTACTGTACCAAGGGATGCTGTAGTAATACAAATATACAAAGAAGAGAGAGAAACTCCTATAGAAAATACTCCTGAACATTATGTTACTCTTTATCAACGTTGATGGGATTTAGATCCTGAAAAAAGACCTGAAACTGAATTTGTCCATGAAAATTAGAAAGTTGATTGCTGGTAAAGAATTAAATTTACCGGATTTACCTGATGTAGTTGAAAATAAGATTGATTATCTTAGGCCTCCAAACATACATCGTAACTTGGTTACATCAGATTCTTCTCGATCTAATAATGATATCGAAGATATTTTTATATATCTGTCATGAATTACATGGACCTATTTTAGACTATACAAATTTTCTACGTAATTTATACTTTATTGTATGACCCTTCAACTCGGATCAAAGATTTAATTTACAAATTCATGCAATTTAAACATAACATTATTTCATAATAATCTTTGCAAGTTGTTTCAAGTCGTACTCAATTTAAGCTTCTTTAGTAACTAAAATTTTATCTTAATGTAAACAGTACTGTTGAAATTATAGTTGAAATCTTAACATTTGTAGTCCCATAATTGATACGATAAACTTATAACTAGATAAATTCAAAAAATTTAGAAATTCCAAACTTTAGCAGAATTACTATGAATATGATAATAAAAAGATAAATAAAATAAAGTAAAAAATTTTCGTAAATAAATTTTGAAAACTTTCAAAAAATTTTCTGACAAATAATAGAAAAGTTACGTTTTTGATGTATTTTTGATCCAACGTACAATTCGGTTCGTACGTACGTAACGCACGGTGAGAAGGGGGCAACTATAAGGGTTTTGGGCTAAAACTAACAAACTAACTAATCTACACAACCAAATCTACTATCTAAGACTCTAAAACCTAGAGTTGGAAGGCAGAAAAGAGGCGTGGAAAGACTTGGTCCGAATTTCGAGGTTCTTGAGTCTTCCTTGGAGGCTACCGGAGTTAATATAAGTCTTCCTTGTCTTTTACTTCTGGTATTAGTTTATCAGTATCGATTATACTTAGCACTAACGCAAAAGTATCGTTTTTGATAGATCTGTGGTTGCTTTTTTGATAGGTCTAAAATGCACCCCAAAATTGATTTACGTTCTTGATACGTTTGTAGAAGACTAATAGCGGCTGTACCAATTTTTTAAAAATTTGAGCGAAGCTATCTCAACAACCACTGGACCAAATTTGATAATTTTTTTTTATTTAAATTCTATGAATTCATAGAATTCAAATAAAAAAATTCATCGAATTTGGTCTGGTGGTAGTGGAGATATCGTCGCTCAAAGTTAAAAAAAAAACGAAACACCTATCAAAATTAAAGCTGCGCCAATTTTTTTAAAAAATTTTGAGCGAGGCTATCTCCATAACCACTAGACCAAATTTGATGATTTTTTTTTATTTGAATTCTATGAATCATAGAATTTAAATAAAAAATAATTCATCGAATTTGGTCAGGTGGTAATGGTGATATCTTCGCTCAAAGTTGAAGAAAAATCG